TCTGTATTTCCAGGAACAACTATTGCCTTGCTAGGAGATGAGCGGTGCGGGCTCTGCCATGCGTGTTAGTTGTAGAGCCATATTGAAGTTCGCTCTCCAGAACGTTGCTGTTTGTGTTTGTACCCCTTGCTCTTCCTCCTGCCCGAGGGGTCTGTCAGACAGGAGCAGGGACTAGCAGTAGAAGGCTGAATTTAAGAACATCAGGTCATGGACACTGGCCTCCAGTTTACTCGTTCCACCTTGTGTGGCCCACCTCTCTGGTCTGCCCCGACACCTCATTTACACTTCAAATCCTAGATTTGTACAAACCAGCCAATCTGAACGTGATCCATGGTCCCATAAGAGGCCTCATAACATCAGAGTGTATCCTAGGATCTTTTTTAGTGTGTGAAGAAAAAGATGCAAGTAAAAGGTTACAAATCTTTATTGAAGCAAAACTCGATCTCAGAGTTGGGGCTCTCTTCCAAGAAAGTCTAGCTGCTACTCCTGTGCCTGCTTCCTTTTACATGTGAAGTTAACACAAGCCCTTGTGTTACTTGGTGTTTAGCTTAGGCTGCACATGCTTCTTCCCCAGCCCTGAAGAAGGGCACTTGGTGCCCGAAAGTTTTTCCAACATCTCTCCCAACTATACAGTTGGTCCGGTAAAAGATGCTGCCAAATAAACCTGGCGAGCTGCTGTCTGTCAGGAGCTCAGCATTTGGGACTTAGCAGCAAGAACACACCAGGTTATTGCAGCAGTCGTGGGAAAAGTATGCAGGAATCTGAAGACATCCTCTTCTCTCAGACTCTTACAGACCCTCCTTTTCTTATTGTAAGGTATTAGTGCCACGTCAGAGGATATCCCCAATAAGATTGAGGACCTTCGATCTGAATGTAGCTCTGACTTTGGTGGAAAAGATTCTGTGACAAGTCCTGATATGGATGAAACAGCTCATGGTAAGTAAGGCATCTGCCTAGGAAGTGAGAAAGAGAACTTCTGTTGCCAAGAGCTCATCAAGAAAAAGAATTAACTTTTCCTTCCTAGTTCTTTTCCATTGACAGGTTGTATGTCTGGTGTATGAAAAACAGTTCACCTTCTCCCCATATTTGTTTTTTTCTGAAATCCTTTTCTGTGACCCATGGGAGTTCCTAACCTGCTGTCTGGGGCCCAAGTCTTAATTCTAAGCTCATTGCTCACTAACTCTGTCTGGTCTGCACTTTTGTACTTGGAACTCTCGCCATGCTCTTGATTGCAGGTTTTTATAATAATCTGACTTTGATCTTTTCAGAATGCTAATTAGGTGCTTTTGCATCCGTTCCTTTTCAAGCGTTTCAGGCTTTATTAAGTTTGTTTGCAAAAGAACACCACTCCTGCCTGTTCTGTTCTGGTGGGTGTGCGTTTTCAGTGTGCTGCACTCGCGACTCTCTTAGTGAACAGGGAGTAATGCTAACCCACTTCGCATGTCGTTTCAGGAGCCAGTCAATTGACTTCTCCCCCTTCTCAAACGGATTCTTTGCTGGCACTGTTTGATCCCCTGTCATCAAACGAAGGTATATTGTAAAGAGTGGGCAAGACTTGTTTTAAGATCCGTACCTTTAAAAGCTTTTGACTTGCTCTGCACTTCTCTAGTTAAGTGCTACACTGATGAGCAATCACCTGCAATCTAATGCTGCGGTTAATTTTTTCCTTTCTTCCTGGGTGCAGGTCCATTGGCAGTGGTTAGGCCTAAAGTGCACTATGCAAGGCCTTCTCACCCACCACCAGACCCCCCGATCCTGGAAGGAGCTATGGGAGGTAATGAGGCCAGGCTACCCAACTTTGGCGCTCACATCTTAATTCCAACTGACCTGGAGGTGTTCAAGCAGAGGCATTCCTACCCCGAGAGGCTGGTCCGCAGCCGGAGCTCTGACATAGTGTCTTCTGTGCGGAGGCCTATGAGCGATCCTGGCTGGAACAGACGACCTGGTAATGAAGAGAGGGAGCTTCCCACCAACCACAGCTATGGAGTAGCTATTTTGGCTGCGCCTCAGTCCTCCTCTTCATCACCCAGCAAAGACTCCTCCAGAGGAGAGGTGAGGCTTTTTTTTCCTAGCCTGCTGAGTTGGGTTTTTGGTATCTTTCTAGCATGTTGTTTTTAAGCTAGAATGCCTAGTGTGATGTGGTGCTTACTGTGCTTAAGGGAGCACCGGGCAGGTCTGTCACCTTTTGAAGGCATGCTGTAGGCCGCCTCCACACAGTCCAAGCTAATCAAATAGCTCAAATGGATGAAGTGTGTCCTGTCCCCGTCCCGTCCCCCCCCCCCCCCCCCCCCCCCCCCCTTTTTTTTTTTTTAACTGTTGCAGTAGCAGGGGCCCAAAATGAACCTCAAAGCAGAGGTTAGCAACTGGGAATGCTTTGATAAGCTGAGAAAAATCTTGCCTGTTTTTAGGCCATTAAATAAAGTACTTTCCCTTCTGGATTCTTGTAGCCCAGGATAAATAGGTGACACCTGAGCTATAAGCATCCCTCCAAAGGAGGACTTAGAGTATCAGGCACAGGCATGCAATGGCTCTTGTACACTGCTGCTTGTTCAGCTGGTGTGGATGCTGTACTTGGTGTCAAAGAAACGTTTTTCAGTCTTTTATTTTCCAATTGCAAAAACTGCTTGATGATTTAAATGCAACATGGACTGAAACTTGGCTTCCCCTACAGATCGAAGAACGGAAAGATAGCGACGATGAGAAATCGGACAGGAACAAGCCCTGGTGGAGGAAACGTTTTGTTTCAGCAATGCCCAAGGGTAAAGTCATTGTGGCACTTTAGTAACAGTGCGTGCTGCTTTCAACAGACCTTCATTTTGAGTTGTATGGGAAATGTTTGTGATAGTTTCCAGTTGTTAATTGTATGCTGAGCAGGTTCAATAGGTAACCAGGGCAAGGTTTGTAGCAGCCTAGGCAGTAATAGTTGTGCCCTCCCCCACTCATTGTATTACTCAGGTTGTTCTGATTACTTACTACAGTCCGGTACCAGAGGGTCAAAGATCTGCTGGCTGGACTTGGTTTAAAAGATCACTGAAGTTATTTTTCCTCCTTGGAAATGAAGGTTCTTTCTTTAGCAGATGTACAAGTAACACAGTGAAGCTGAGGAAAGTATTACAATCCAGAGGAGGGAGACAAAAGCAGAACTGTGTAGAAGTCCAAGTCAGAAGAGGCTTAAGTTGGGTCTTGTGCATTTGGCTATTTGTTGACTGCACGCTGACACTGCGGTGACTCAAACCTTTGGACAAATGGCTGGAATAAATCTGTGAACTCTTGCACTGGCCACATGAATGGTCCAGCCAGGAGTCAGGTTCTTCAGGGCTGCTTTGGGGGGTGGCTGTCTGATTTAGAGTAGGAGCTGAGAAGGGTGCAGCCTGTAGTAGGTTGCCTGTTCAACCTGCAGGTAGGCTGGCTCTTCGCTGAGACGGTTTGATGTTAAATGCTGGTAGGCAGTTTCTGAAAGCGGTTTTATTTCTATGCTGGCTGTCGCCGCCTCCACAGACAATATTTCTTATACTGATTTCCTCTCATTTCCAGCACCTATTCCATTTAGAAAAAAAGAAAAGCAAGAAAAAGACAAAGATGACTTGATGCCAGACAGATTCTCTGCTCTTACAGGTTTGTCAGTGATACTGCTTCCTAACTCCTTCAGCTAGGGTTGATTTTCTGATGTTCAGAATTAGACTCTAACAGCGCCGGTTGTATCAGAATTGGTCCCTGGCCCTGAAGAAGATTTGTCTGCTGTCCCCTGCTTTGTTAGCTTCTGCCTGTCATTCAGTCATGACGTGGAATCCTGGGTCAGCCTCTGTTCTTACTTTGCCTTCACGGGCTCCTTGCTCACACCGTAGATCAGGTTTGGGGTGGCTGCGGCGGTGCTTCTGCAATTGCTGCTGAAATTCTAATGAGCTGAAGCTTGAGGTTGCGGCACAAAGTTAATGTAAAAACCCATAAAAATAGAATAGTTTTTCTCCTGCTGGTTCTTACAGGGGTGGCATAGCTACATCAGGGGTCTTGCATCATGCTCCTTTTCAGCGTGGCCATCTTCTGCCTTGTACTTTCCTAGAGGAAGCAGCTGTTCTAGGTTTTAGCCGAGCATACAAGCCCAAGAAGAAATTGGTTGTTTCTGTATCAGTGAAATGAAAGAGGAGCTAGAATGATGTGTCTAAACGCAACGGTTTTATGCGCACTCTCTGTAGACTTCAAGGAGTAATGGGCCTTATGCTTCTGCAGTATTTTCATTTAGCAGGGATAATTCCCCTTCCATTCTCCTTGCCTTCTCAGATGATCCCAGCCCCAGGCTAAGTGCACAGGCGCAGGCGGCAGAGGATATCCTGGACAAGTACAGGAACGCTATCAAACGAACCAGCCCCAGCGAAGGAGCCATAGTCAATTATGACAGTGCAGGTAAGGGCCCAGCCCTACTGCCCCAGGTTTTCAGTCAGGGAAGTGGAAAGGCATCATCTTCAGGGACACCTTTTTGCTTTTTGCTGGAATTGCTGTGTGCTAGCAACCTATTAGCTGGTGCTTTTAGCTATCTTGGAAGAACCAGGATGCAGTAAAAGTACATTGATCTCTTCTAACAAATCATACAGATTCTTCTGGAAGTGAATTTTACGTTGCTTAGTTTAAATGCATTTTTTCAGAAGCACTAGACCAGTCTTTTGATTGATTGATCAGTCGATGTATCTTGTCTGTACAACTTGCTCATTCTTCTCAGAAGTTAGGGACGAGGAAAAGCCAACAGTAGGGTACTAGGCTGTCTGGCTGCTGGAATCGAGCAGTGTGTTTGTGTTTGCATAGAGGCCATGGGGGATGGTGAAAGTATGCATGACTCGCCACGTGATGAAGCCCTGCAGAATATGTCAGCAGATGACCTCCCTGATTCTGCAAGCCAAGTGGCCCAGCCCCAGGGCTCTGCTTTCTCCTACAGGTAAATGCAGTGCTTGTGTATCTAATGTTTGTGGGTTCATATTAAGATAAAAGCCAAAGCCATTTGCTGGGTCTGTAGGAGAACTGGTGTCCTGTAGGCATCCTGAATCTGATTGGTAGAAAATAATCAGTTTCCCTGGTGCAGCGTGGGATTGTTTCCAATTGTGCAGTACCAGATATTTTAGTCGGATATAGTTTTAACATCGCAAATGACAGGATTTCCAGCTTCAGGCTGTTTTTCAGGCTAGCATTTGCTCATTTCCTGATGTTCAACCTATATTTCCATATTTTAATTCCACAATATTCCTCCCACTTATACTTCTTACTATGCCACATAATTGTCCTCCTTTCTAGATCTGTTCCTTGCCAAGCATTCCAGTTCCTGAATCGTTTCTGTTGCTCCACTCTGAGCTTTTCCTGTTTCTTGGGAAATGACTGGCCCAGTACTGAACACCCTGTCCAAAGTCCAGTTCCACTGGTGCTGTGGGAAGGAAGACTGGTTCCCTGTCCCATGATGTGAGGCCTTTGTTACTGTCGTGCATCACAAGCATGCCTAGTTGGCTCCACTCTCTCACCTGGAGTTTGTGTTCCAGATTTCTCTTCAGTTTTTTACCCCCAGTTTTTGAACCTGCTGTGACAAACCTTCCCACTTATATTTATTTCAATTAACTTTGGAAGGAAGTAACTTGACTTCATTTACTGCTGCGTATAAACCATCATGACTAAAACTCAATGAAAACTTCTTCCACGATATGTGGATGCAGGTATACTGAAGGGATTGATTTGAGTTACTGGTGAGCATGGAAACGAAGATCCCAGACTTCTGGGCTGCCTGACACGATGCAGGTCTAGTGTAGAAATAATTGAACATTACGCATCAAACTGCACTGTTAGCTGTACGAGGGGGCACAACTGCTCAGGGTGCTGATTTGGGGAAAATTCCCGTGGCTTCTAGGTCAGCAGCCTGCACTGAAGCAGCTTTTGGGCAGCCTAATCAATTCTGAGCTGATGCCTACATAACTAGAGGGCCCTAGGAGCTCCTTTATTGCAGAGATGCTTTTCTAGTGTACCACTCAGCCTCCCTGATGCGGCACTGCAGTGTTGGTAAAAACCACTCTTGCATGTTGGAACTCAAAGCCCTTTGGTGCTAAGAACAAGCAGTACGCTTAGCGAGAGAGCAGTGCCGTACACGGGCTTTGCTGTACAGGCACACGGAGATTCCTCTGCATACAGCACTAAGTAGGCATTCTGTGGGCGTGATTAGTGGAAATCAAGTTTTTTCTTGTTTTCTCATTGACTCTGAAATCATTGGGTTCTGCCAGTGGATGCCTAGAAAATTCCCTGAGGCTTGAAATTGTTCAGAAGGCAGACAGACAGAAAGACAAATGCCATCCAGTTGGGAGTTACTTCAAGCAGTTAGCAATCATGGCAGGCTTGGTGCAAAGGCCAGCGTTCGTGTTTGTGAGCAGTGAGCTCTATGAATAGCATCTCCAGACCTGGGTGAAACACAGCCATAGCAATTGGGTAAGGTCCCCTGGCGTAGGAAGGAGACCACTATTATCGGTTGTTGCCAAGCTGATACCATTCACCTGCATAAACGTTACTGGAAAGAAGGCATTCCTTTCCGTTATGAAAGGCAGAAAGGAAAACAAAATCAGCCTGGGTTAATTTTCATACAAGTTACATTCTAGTGACTTGAGTGTCATTGAGGCCATCACCTTGCAGGAGCAAAGTCAAACCTTATGCAGATACCATTTAAATGGGCGCAGTTTCCTTGGAGACATGAACTAAGCGGAACAGCAAAAGGGGTCGGTGCTAGTGGGCTGGAAGAAACTTGAGAGGGTAACCTCTAGTGTCTTTCCCCACAGTGCATGGAAGTTGCATGGAATAGCTTTTAGATGGGCTGATTTAAAAACATGAGGACTTGTCCTTGCAAAGGGAGTGGTCTGATCAGCTGCGTATCTAAGGAAACAGCCTTTTGTTCTCTCTAGGGATGCAAAGAAGAAATTGCGACTGGCTCTCTGTTCAGCTGATTCTGTTGCCTTTCCTATGCTGAGCCATTCAACAAGAAACGGCCTACCAGACCACACGGACCCTGAGGGTAAACCCCTTTTCATGCACGTGCTGACACTTGCATGCTGCATATTTCATTCTGCTCCTCTCTGTGTTGCACAACTTTTCGGAAACCTCTCCACATTGTGCCTTTTCCTGTTCCTGCCATCATCTTCATGTTTTCTGCTGTTTTCCCCACGCATGTGAGCACTTTGCCAATCCCAGTCTTTAGTGTGTTGTAACAAGGTACCTCTGCAAAGTTGGAGCATAGCCAAAGGGCGATGCTGTAGAAGGGACTCTGGAGGTGGCTGTTCTTGGGAGACTGAGATGCACAAAACAAAGCAGAGCATGCTGCACAGAAATACCGTGGGTTTAAAGCTGCACATGAGTCAGTTTTCCACATGGTTCCTTCAGATCCAGGGCACTTCCTCTCCTCTTTTCCATTTAGTAGGAAAAGCCATGTAGGCAGTCGAGTAACAGGTCTGTCTTCTCTCTGCTCAGACAATGAAATCGTATGCTTCTTGAAAGTTCAGCTAGCTGAAGCCATTAACCTGCAAGACAAGAACTTGATGGCCCAACTGCAGGAGACCATGCGGTGTGTAAGCCGCTTTGATAACCGGACCTGTCGGAAGCTGCTGGCTTCCATTGCAGAGGACTACAGGTACCTTGTTCTGTTTCTCCTTGATAAGCGTGGTCTAAGTGAAGGTTTGTTTCTGCCCATTAGTGCATTGGGAGTGGCCCACTTGATTTGTCTTAAACCCAGCCAGGTTCTGCTTCGCTTTCCCACCAAGTGGTGCAGTTGCCTTGTCTTCCTTCAAAACAGCCACAAAAGGCTTGAACAGTAAATCCACGCAGCTAGTAATAAGCCGCGGTTCCGCCAAATAAGCTGCGGTCCAGCCAGCACAGCAGGGGCTGTTCTGCGCTGGCGCACAGCACACCTGCCTTCAAATGCTGCTGCGGTCTGGCTCCTGGGAGTGGGAGGGCTGTGCAGGCAGTGAGCCCAGTGTTGGAGCAGGGACAGCTGCCTGGTCCAAGACGCTACGCAGGAGGCTGTATGAAAGGTGGCGTTCATAAGGGCAATCTGAGGGCTTCTCCCATGTCATGCTGTGATCAGGCCTGGAGAGCCAGGGTCACTTTGTTGGTGCTGTTTCCCCTCAGGAAAAGGGCTCCGTACATTGCCTATTTGACTCGCTGTCGCCAAGGCCTGCAGACCACGCAGGCACACCTGGAGCGGCTGCTGCAGAGGGTTCTGCGTGATAAGGAAGTGGCCAACAGATACTTCACCACAGTCTGTGTGAGGCTGTTACTGGAAAGCAAAGAGAAGAAGATAAGGGAGTTCATTCAAGGTAATTCAATGGAGGGCGTGGGTTGTTGGTCTCATGTGCATGGTGTTCCAGGTGCCTCTACCTCTGCTGGCCAACGTTCAAGAACAGTATGAGCTGCAGCATTATTTCACTGCCTGTATCCTCCAAAGACTGGCTGTGGGAGGCTATGGGGAGCGGTTGGCATGAGGGTCAGAAGCATGATGCTCGTACCTGGAGGTTCTTTTGCTGCTGGGGACTTTGGTTTAGAAAACTGCCCCAGAACAGACCTGGTCTTGACAGTTGTGGTATATCCGGACCCTCAGTGATGCGGTCATTGAAAGGGATGTGAAGTACAAAATGCAGCATCACCTTGACTCCAGGTCCTGCTGCACTGTCAGTGCCAGGAGGGGTTCGTTTTGCACCATGTTGTGCCACCTGTGCTGTTTATCAGCACTTCCGTGGGCATGTTGTAATGATGCATGTTTCATTGAGGAGAAGTGACCAGGAAATGCTGCTGATGCCCTTTCTTAAGCTCGTTCCTTTCTAGTGATACTCTCCTGGCTCTTGACCTGTACCGGTGCTTTTCCTCTTCAGAGAGCCTCTGAGGGGGAAGTTAGAAGAGTCTCCAGGGTTGTGTGTAGGATCTAGCCACAGAGGAAGTGAGGGGAGCAGTGAGAAGCAGAGGCCTTGCCCACATGACTTAAGATACGTCTCTGCTTTCTTGCCTCTGTCGTTGCTTGAATAAACCCATTCCTGTTCCCTTTCACCCCCTCTCCTTCCCCCCTGAAAAAATTCTCCAGCACCTACCTGCAAGGAGGGCCTTCACCAGCCTCTGGGCCTGCTTTTCCAGAGAATCCACAGGGAAGTTTCAAGTGGCCTGTTTAACTGAGCTTCCTCCCTTCTTTGCATGCAGATTTCCAGAAGCTGACAGCAGCGGACGATAAAACAGCCCAAGTGGAAGATTTTCTCCAGTTTTTATATGGGGCTATGGCCCAGGATACCATCTGGCAAAACGCCAGCGAGGAGCAGCTCCAGGATGCGCAGCTAGCCATTGAGCGCAGCGTGATGAACCGCATCTTCAAACTTGCCTTCTACCCCAATCAGGATGGAGACATCTTGCGTGACCAGTAAGTTTGTGACTCGAGGTCCCTGAGTCTCCCACAGGTAGTGGGTAGAGAGAAGCAGTGCTCCTTCCAAGGGCAAACTTGTGTACCCAGCCAGGCCAGCCAGGTCTGTCACCACCTTTTGATTTTCTTGAAGCTTTTGCATTAAACCGCAAAGCATTTTATTTACATCGTGGGCGGGGGGTGTAACTTGGGATCATATGCAAAAACAATTTCTTTTAAAAAGTTCATGAAAACGAAGGAAAAGACATGGGAGAACCCTTATTATGGCCCTTGGTTGTATAACCCTTGTATTTCTGCGTGCTGAGATGGATAGTTTGAAGCTGTTTCTTGATGCACATCTCAGTTTAGTTTTGCCAGAGCTAGCCCAGTGTGTTCTCTCAGTCTTTCCACTTCTTTCAAACCATCTACTCTCTAGCAACTGTGGTAGACCTGGCGTTGGATTTGATGGCAGGTTCTCCCCTGGTGGTAGGGCCAGTGCACACTCCAGGTAGAGCCATGGTGACTGCCTGCACACAGCATTCGTGTTGCATCCTCTCCTCTGTGCGGTGCATGGGCTGGATGTGTCCAAATTTATGAATTAGGCCTGGATGGGAGGCCCCATGGGCATCTGCCATTTTACAGAAGCTGCGCTTGGTCTCTTAAGAGGGCTGTCTGCTCCCTTCCCTCATGGAATTTGTTCTTGTTCTCAGGGTCCTTCATGAGCATATCCAAAGGCTGTCGAAGGTGGTGACGGCAAACCATAAAGCCCTTCAGATACCTGAGGTAACAACCTTTTCTTCCCTCCGCTTTTGAGTTAAAATTGAAGGAAAAGAACAATTCTGTTCTGAAAGCAGGGGAGAGGCCAGTAGAGTCTGGATGACGCTGTTGTATTGGGTCCCCGAGTTGACATCCAAGCTTGGAAGTGCATTTTCCATTTTTTTTTACTTTTGCACGGGTTGGAATAGGGAGTAATGGGAAAGAAAAGCCTAGTGTTAAACCAATGTGGAGGGTTCTTCCTTCCCACCTCCCCCCTCCTCCCACAGACTGACCATTCCAGCTAATCTGAGAAGCAGTAACCCAGTGACCCTGTAAAAATACTCTTGAAGAGAGGTGGATTTGTTTACAATATTGAAGGGCTCAAGACTCTTGTACATAACAACTGTCATTGCTTTTTCAGCAGGTAAATTTTAAGTCTTTTAGAAAGACTTTAATTGGAAAGTACTGGCAAGTCTAGTATTAACTCCAGGGAGTCTGTAATAGCTCGGATGGAGTAGAACTGGGATTGTTTTGTCTTGCTGTTAGGTTTACCTCCGGGAGGCACCGTGGCCATCTGCGCAGTCTGAAATCCGCACAATAAGCGCTTACAAAACCCCGCGAGACAAAGTGCAGTGTATTCTGAGGATGTGCTCAACTATCATGAACCTGCTGAGCCTGGCCAATGAAGATTCGGTGCCTGGGGCGGATGACTTTGTTCCTGTCCTGGTCTTTGTTCTCATAAAAGTGAGTTGTTTAGCTGAGAGCACGCACTCTTGTTCAGCATGTCTTTCAGCGTGGGGGTAAATGAGCGGATTTTACCCAGGGGTTCTCTTGGTATCAGCTGCCGACCTGTCTCCTTTTGCAGTGCAGGCTTCATCTGCCCGGCACAAGTTGAGCCCTCAGCAAGTTGAAATGTAAAGGGCAGATCTGATGTGTGGGGTCAGCTAGGGCTGTTCTGCAGATGCATCCCCCGGTGTCCGCCTGCGGCCCAGTTTGCACTCCATGCAGTCGTGGCCTGGACTGGGATCGTTATTTGTATTTAATATCAAATGGGAGGGGCGCTATAGAAATGGTGCTCAATCCCTGTTCTGTTTGATTTGTAACACGCTGCTGTGCTAGAGATCGTTGTAGCAGTTCCTTTTTCTCTTTTCACCCCCAGGCAAATCCCCCGTGCTTGTTGTCCACTGTTCAGTACATTAGTAGTTTTTATGCTAACTGTTTGTCTGGAGAAGAATCGTACTGGTGGATGCAGTTCACAGCTGCGGTTGAATTCATTAAGACCATTGATGATCGCAAGTGACCTGCGGCTTCGCCAGCGTGGGCAGACGTGTAGCAGGGAGGAGCCTGTCAGAATGTGCATCAGCTGTTTGAAAGCTGAAGAAGAGACTTTCCGTGTATAATATTGTACAGAGCTGAGGCATTTTAAACAGATCTTTACTAATCAGATTAATTTAACAGGTTTCCCTTTCCTCTCTTTTGGTTACATCTCTTCCCCCTACAGCTATTAGCACTGCAAAAAGGGACCACGTTTTTCAGGTATTTCAAAATCTGAAAGTGTTTTAGGAAGCTCTTTGCCACACTTCTTGCACAAGATACACTATGTTTTCCCCTTAGGCTTCTATTCACAAAAAAATGCATTTCTTTTGTTTCTAGCCAAAAGATTAGGACTACCACTTTTTAAGATCCTTTTTAGTTTAATACACTTTTTGTTCAGAAAACCCCAGCCACACGGAAGGGTTGTAGCAGTCGGCATTTAGTTAACAGTTGTATTTCACCTGCCGTAAACTTCAAACCTGAGAGGACAATGTAAATATATAATATGACTATATTTAATGAATTGTAGTTATCTTTGGACTCCATTATCCTTTCAGTCAACAAGCAAGGATCTCCCCTGTCCTCCAGCAAGCAGCCTGTGACATACTTTGTTGGCTGAGGAGGCGACTTTCTTAATAGGCTAGGTTTAAAAAGGGCAAACCTAAGTATTTATTAAAATGTAATAAAGTTTACTGAACTTCCTGAAACTGGAATTTATAATTCACAGGGCTCTCACTGACCTTTCACATTTTTTGGCTAGGGCATTAGTGTGTTCAAGTTTTGCATTTGTAGAGGAGAGGGACTGTAAGTTTCAATAGATAAGTTCTAATATAAAAAGGAATAGTAAATACCTTATTGTAATATTTTTTCTGAAACATTGTGTATACTGTACAAACCCCAAACAGAACCTTAAACTGTAATATATATTTTGATTAGTCACATTAAATACATATGCCGGGGGTTTCAGAACGTTTTTTTACTAAGTGTTATTTGTATTGTCTGCTACAGCAGTGCAGGTTTTACTTGTTCATATAAAATATTTTGAAATGCCATATGGTTCCTTATGAAACACATCATGACATCAGTTCAGGGTATTTTTTACAGATTTGTCTTGCCCTGCTCCCTTTCACAACGACAGAATTAGGAATTTAAAGAAGGTTCTTGTGCAGAAGACCAGGTGGACCTTGCTGAGAAACAGAACAAGAGAATGTCTAGAGATGTCCCAAGGGATTCTGATCTGCACATGCACGGTCACTGGCCTTTTCCACTGTTGTAAGTTTATCAAAAAAGACCCTTAAATTGTGACTCCTTAATGCCAGCATTACGCCTCACTCTCCCAGTGCGTGCCGTATTGCTGGCAATGAGGTGAGCCAGACTTTGTGGCCACCAGAAGTAAAAACAAAACCCAACCCCCCTATATAACCTGCTTTATTAACCCCTATATTTCCCTGCTTTCAGCTGGACAGTTCACATGTACTGTGTTCTGCACACGCAATTGATGGAAGACTTTTTTCTCCTCTTTTGGAAAAGGCCAGTGAGCTGTTAGAAGCCATGTACATCGGGCTTGACAAGGGAGTCTGTTTAAAAAAGAAAAAAAGCAACTAACTGGTACATCTAATGCTAGCTTGATTAGTTGCAATTAGAACAACTTTTGTACAGTATTAAGTGCTTGAGGTGCAACTGTGCTGCTCGCTGGGCATAATTCAGTGAAAGCGACTTCCTGCTTTCAAGGCCTCAGTATCTCTAATGGGTCTCTATCACTGTTGCCATGTTAAATCTGTGGGAAGTGGGTGGGATGGTATAGCCTTTTACTTTCTGTTTATAGTCTTTCTCCTCTATTATAGACTTGATCGTAGGATAGAGCAATACTTTCTAGTAGCAGCAGAGTTCCTGTAGTCTGCTTTACTCTGGTAATGCTGATCTTCAGTCCGAATGGCATTGTAATGCTCTCGTTATTTAGCCTTCAAGGGTTTTTGGTGCTGAAGACACTTAATCTTGTAATACTGCGTTCATAGCCCTGACCAGTGGTGAAGCACAATCCTGCCCTCGAAGGAATGGCCAGATCACACCTAAAAGCAATATCAACTGGTTGTACCACAACTGGAGTGTCCTGTTGAATTAATTCGTTACTGCAGATTTGTCGTGCTGGTATCCATGCACCAATACCCCGTAGTCCTGCCGTTTGGGTTCCAGGCAAGGAGAAGATTTGGTCTCCCAAATCCGCCTTGTCGTAAACTGTTTTCTCAAAATGTAGCGTATGGCACAGCAGCACCTTATGAGGGAGCAGTCACGTCTGTCACGGGCAGGCCGGGCACAGAGCAGTCGGCTCCTAAACGGCCTTCAGGACTTGTTCTGCCCGGGAAGGTGTCTTCCCTGGCAAAGCCCGTTCTCTTCACAGTCTGTATTACTTTGCTGCTTCTCTGTGGAGAAAAATTACTGAAAAAAGTTTGATTTTTTTTTTTTTTTTTTAAATGAAATTATTTTAGAAAAAGTAAAGATTTGTACAAGTCCCAGCACAGACAGGAGTCTCACAGCAAGAGGGTCTTTTGCTTATTCTTATTTTTTATTTTAAACCTGCTACAAAAGCCTTTTATACCATGTTATTGATGGCCGTAGTAAAAGGATTAGGCTTTCCAAAGAATTAGAAGTCTGACTGTAACGTGTCTGTTTTCCTGGTGGCTGTACGATTTTGTTTGACAATGTTAAATGATGTGTACGGGACGATGCCTGCTCGGGTTTCTGTTGTGCAATAGTTAGAGGTGAAGATGGAAAGCACAAAGGACCAAACGGTACCAACTGTTTTGCCAAAAGGCTGCAGCCCAGCCATGTCTGCACCCTGCACTTCAGCCATGCAAGGGTACACTGAACAACTGTTCTGGGGAGGAGAGGCTCTTTGCAGCCCGCTGTCTGCACAGACTGAAGGCCCAGTTGTTGAAGTCAGGGGTGCTTTTGCAAGAGTGCGGAGGAATAATTGACTAATTGTCTCGATCCAGCTGTTCCCTTCACGCTGGTGTTTGCTATTCCTGTGTCCTGAGCTGAGCATTGGGTCTTTCATCCCCAGGGGATCCCCCCGCCCTACAACCCCTGGTGGCTTTATTTCTTCCTTAAAATCTTGTTAAGCTCCTTTTCTAAGGAGCATTGGCACGTGCGGCCTGCTGTCATTTTAGTTTGAAGTTGCACTACTAACTATTGGATGGAAACTGCCATACACGGCAGGAGGAAGCCACGACACAACCCTCTTTACTTGAGGTGAGTTTCTGGTGAGCACAGTGTCACGGCCTATTTGAAAGCAATGTTCTGTTCAGCCAAATCCTAGCAGAAGTTTGGGGACCCACTGCCATGTCAGTCGTGCTGAGTAGTCTGCAGGGGAAAACCGGCAGGTTGAAAGGGCAGCAGTCAACACGCGCCCTGCTTATCAGTGCTTCAAGGAAGTGAAGCTTGCTGTGTAGTGTAACTTATGTGGCCCAGCTACTGTATCTACACAGCAGCCTTAGGCTGGAAGTGTGGTGGGAGGCCTGGAGCAGCAGAAAATCATGGGCTGTAGAGAGGGGGCGGTTCTCCTTTCTCGGGGATTACAGCTGATCCGTGGGCGAGCCCCTGCTCCGGGAGAACGAGTCTGCTGAGTTTATCGCGTGTTCTGTACCTCTTCATTGTGCTTCACCTCTGTTTTACAAGCTTTGTACTGCCTCTCCTCTTTGAAACTGGTAACGCCTTTCTAAATCAAAATTAATGAGCTTGCACAATCTTGTATACAGGAAGCCCATCTTGTCTCTAATGTGATTATTAATGTATGATATCATTCTGTACAAACCGATTAAAAAGGAGAGCAGTTTACCTGGCTGGCTTCGTGTCTCTGCATTCTGATGGCCACGTGAGGTCCTGCGGGCTCAGCAGCCATGCTGAAGGCAGGCTTGCAAGTTGTGTAGCGCGCACACGTGCTCAGCTCCAAGTGGGGCTTGGGGAAAGGTGGGTGGGAAGGACAAGGGTGCAATGGCAGGCTGCGGAGCTCCTCGCATAAGGCCCAGCTGGAGAGCACTGACAGAGCAGTTCAAAACAGAACAGCTCTCGCTGGTCACTTGGTCTGAGTGAAATTAGTTTGGGGGCTTAGACTGCCAGCAGACGGGCATCTCCATCGCTCTTTGTATCAACCAGGCCTGGTGCTGGCACAGCCATAATCCCAAAACCCACTGCTAGAACTGAAGCCAAGTGGCCTACTGCCAGTCTCAGCACGGGCGCAAAGGGTCAGGCAGACGTAGAGCAAACTCCCATGTAGCCCTATGAGGGAAGCGCCACCAGGAAGAACTAGAGGCCTGGGCAAAGTGGTCCCTGAGCAGTGGTTGCAGCGGGGCCGGGGCTGTCGGGTCCATAGGCATCACGTCGGCTCGGGTATTTGTAACCTTTCAGAAGAAAGATCAGCTGAGAGCTTGAGGGCAGGATTGGCCCCGCACCGCCCAAAGGGGAACAGGCGGAGTATCCGAGACCCAAGATGAGCGCCGCGGGGAGCTGATGATGAGACTGCCTGGCAGAACAGAAAAAATGCAACAGCCGCCTCCTGTCAGCCTTCGACCACAAGATTCATCTTCCAGGGGAATTCGTCTGCAGTTGTGAATGCGCATGGGTCATGTCACCCCTGTGAGTGTCCGGAGCCCAGGGGCAAACGTGGAGTGAGGTGGTTCTCGGTCCACCTGCGCCCCATCTCTTGCTTTCACCCTCTCTTTAGCAGCAGCAGCAGTTGCAGAGCATGGGCTTCTCACAGAGCAGCTGCTTTCCAGGTCCAGTCCCCACATAGTCCTAGGGAAGGTAGCCTGGTAGAGATCTCCAGAGCTCATCTCATCCGGCCCCCACATAGCTGGGAGAAACTGTCCGTACTTTCTTCTATATGAAAATATCATTTTCTGAGCAATGTAGCGTGCGACTCCAGCAGTGCTTGCTTTACCGGACACGTGCTTATTTTGTCTGCTAACAGCAAAGCCATCCTGGGATGGGGTTTATCAGGGCTTTTAGTGAAGAAGATTCAAGTTTGCCACCAGTGCTGGGGTGAGAGCAGACGTGAGCAGAGAACGCTTCGTGACCTGTGCTCCCCCAGCAGCTGTCACATAAGTGCCTTGGGCAGCCGAAAGGGAGTGCGGTTCCTGGGGGCTGCAGTGAGGGCTTGGCTGGAAGTGGACACAGCAGCTGAATGACCCGTGCCCTTTTGGGCGGAACGTCCCCAGGGAGCAGGAACATGGGCACCCTGTAAACTGGCTTCTGCATGTCTCCCTGCTCAGGCCCTTTCCCAGCCCAGTTGCCCTCCTGTGGCAGTGGAGTGGGGAGAGGGTTTGTGCAGGCGGATGGGCTGGAAGGGCTGTGGCTGGCATCAGCAGGTTTGGTGCCAACGGGCCCCTTGCTCCTTGGGTTGGGGTCCTGGGCACGGGCCCAGCCCTGCCCTGCTGCCCTCACCCCCCTGGGTTGCGAAGTAGCTCCGACAGAGAGGAGACAGCCTGGCCCTGGGCACAGTGACCTCTTTACCTACCAGCCAGTGCCAGGCCACCATTGTCCCTGTATGGCCCATGCTACCCAGCAGGCCCCAGTGCTGACCCTAGCCTTGGCACCAGGCGAAGGAGCGTGAAAGCAGGCCTGGGGATGCGGGGGCTATGCCCTGGGCAGGCAGCCTGCATTGCAGCTGCTCCCTGCCTGGCTGGGCTCCTGTTCTCTGCCCGCCAGACCGTTTCCTTTCCGAGGGTGACATCTAGTGGCTAAGCCCAGCTCCTTGCAGGGGACGTGGGTGGCAGCCACTGCTGCAGCCCCCAGACCCCTCCAAGCCCAAGGCTGTGCAGCCTCCGAGTATGCTGGGGTCCTGCAGGGAAGCTGCCTGCCCGGGCTCCTGTGATGGCCAGACCCAGGTGCCCATGGGAGAGGGCCACGCAGTGCGGGCAACTGACTCATCCTTCCCTGCGTGTGTTCAGGGCTGGCTCAGGGCCAGGTAAACGCTGGCACGCAGAGGGGCTGGGCCCAGCCTGGCCATAGAGACCTGCTGCTGTGAGGGCAGAAGTGCCCTCCTGGTCCCTGCCCCACAGTGCTGCAGCCCAGAGGGGTGGGAAGGGGTTGCCTCCAGGCCCTGCTTCCAGCTCAGGGGGGAGTGTAGCAGGGAGACGCCTCCTCCCACAGTAGCTCCCTGTATCAGTTGCCCGTGCCCTGAGCAGACCCGAAGGCGCACTGCTTGGCTTTCTGTCCTGGCGCCTCGTGCAGGGTTTCGCAGCCTTTTGTGCAGCCCACCTAGCACGCCGCACGTCTCTGTCATTTCATTAGCGGCAACGCATGTTTGAAAACAACAGAGGCTGAGGTTTTAAAGCAACATGCAATTTTTATTATATATATCCAGGCCTGCCATTAGCTCGGTCCCTGCAGTGTTATTGACCTTGATTCCTTCTCATTTGCATCCAGCATTTTTCATCCTTTGGAATATGGTGTTTGGGGACCTTTCCATCATTAAGTGGATTTACAGCAATTTCCTTATGTGTTTTCTCCAAGGGATTCTGTTATGAGAGGCACATTAAATCTCCATTAATACCTCATTATCCGACTGATAAGATTACCATGATAATGAGGCAGAAATTCTAATTGTTTCACTTCTTATTGTGCCTTTCATTAAATCATATACCTGGAAGTCAGCATCTGAGAGAAGATTTCCAGCCTCCAGACCTTGGGAGGTGAGTCCCTTCCCTGAGTGCGCACCGTGCTTCAGCATGCTCCACAAGGTCCCCTGGCTGCCTTTGGGCATGGGGGGCCTTTTCCATTGAGACCCTGGCTCCCCAGGGACCTAGCTGGCCATGGCTTGCCTGGTTTCTGTAGCAGGATCCTGCGTGTCTGCCAAGGACAGGTCCAAAGGCTTCGCTCCTGCCGGCAGCCCAATTGCCCGTGGCCTGGGACCTAGCAGGCCGTCCAGACCTTGGTAACATTCAATTAACCCAACTTGCAGAGTCAGGAGCTCATTTGCATGAGTGTCAACTGTATTAAATTAAAAATGAAAAGGAAAGGAGAGGGAAAGCTGCGTGGAGGCCCCTCAGCAGGGCTGAGGAAGGACAGGGCGTAGGAGGCAGCTGTCTCTTCACTTCTAGGTAGTTTTGCCCTGGTTGTGTGTGGAGTACAGCTCCGTGCTCTGCTCTGCATGCAGTCCAGGGGAGCCCGGGGAGGGGGGGTGCAGGCTGGCGCAGACGGTCTGTACAGCCACGGCAGGCCATCGTATCCTTGCACCTCCACAGCTCTGCTCCCACTCACTCCTGCACCGCCGTGAGGAAAACCTGCTCCTCTTTGCACGGAAGCCATTTGTGAAGTTGTCACTGGTCCCTACCTGGGCAGAGGCAGCTAAAGCTGTGCTGGTTTTAAGGCGTGTACGGTTCTCTGCAGACCCCCAGGATCCCGCACAGAATTGCTGCTGGCATCCTGCCTGCCGGCTGGCCCTTGGGCCCTCGGAGGGAGGGATCAGCCCCGTGGCCTTGGTCTCTGCACCTCCTAGCTCCCACGGCACGCCAGCCTTCACTGCATTTGCACTTGTAGGCTCCCATGCAGGAACTGCAAAAAGGCAAGCGGCCGAGCCTCTGTCTCTCTTGCATTGATGGAGAAATTGCAACCCTTGCAGCGGGGCACGCACTGGAGCCCTGGGCTGCACGGACGCGGGGGAAAGCTGCTGGCCTGCGGCTCGTCAGGGGCTGTCCAGAGGCCTCATGCCCCTCGTTTCCCTTCCCGTGCTCGCTCCGAGAAGTTTGCGCTGCGCAGAGCTCAACAGATGCTGATATTAATCCTCGCTTTTGCGCTGACGGATGGGAGAGGCGGTTTGGAGATCGCTATTTTTCACGGTGACCCTGTGGAACGTTACCTGCGGGCCTAATAACGAGCTCTGTCATTAATGGCTTGTTCCCTATGGCTTATGCAGCTGCAGCAGCAGAGCGCACGCTGGGCAGTCAATGGCATCTGCCAGGCTCAGAACGGGGCTGCTTGACCCCCGTGCCCACAACGGCAGAATTAAACAGGTTGCTCGGCGCGCCCCAGGGCTGGGAAGCGCCTCGCTCGGGCACGAGCCCCAAAAGCCGGGTCCGAGCGGAGCCGGATGGGTTGAGCCTGGGAACGGCGCCGTCGGAGCGTTCTCCACGAAGGGACTTTCTGCTCGTGAATGTGGGAGCCCGCCAGTGCCCCTCGGCCATGACTTGCGGCCCCCAATGCCCGCTCTGTGCTGGCTGTCTCGGCCCCGGTTCTCTCGGGGTGTCACCGAACGGTATTTGTGGCGTTGGGCCCGGCTCTGGCGAGGGGCATCGTCCGCTCCCGACTCCGGCGTCTGCCTCTCTCTTCCTCCTCTCGCAGCCCTTCCCTGTTTCCTCGTTTCCATGCAGCGCTTGGCAGGAGCCGGCCCCCTCCGTTAAGGAGCAAGGACCGGACGCTGCTGGAGGATCAGGCCAGCCCCAGCGTGGCTCTCCATGTCCATCCTTCCCCGTGGCTCTGAGGCGCAAGTTTGCTCCCAGTGACGTCCGCCACGGGTCTACACGTGTTGCTACTGCACGTTAAACGTAGGGCCTCTAATCCGAGGGCCCACCTCCCCGCGCAGGAGCAAAGGCACGCGGGCTTTCGGTGACGCTTAGCAGCCCCGCTTTGCCTGTGATGTGCTAACGAGCGGTAGGCTTTGTCTACTGAGTATTAAGTGTCTGGTGTAGACGCGGCCGCAGTGTCTGCCGCTGCCTCCTGTAGGCACCGGATCAGGCCTTCCTTAGTGGCCCGTCCCTCAACGGAGCCCGCGCAGGGATTGTGTGCGCTTGCCCGGGGGCTGCG